CGCCAGTTGGGAGCCAGGGCGCCGACGACGATTTCGGCTGATGCCCGAAGCCCGCCGCGGCAGACCGCCTGCCGCGCCGCCGAACGCAGCCTGGCCAGCTCCCGCGCAGGCGGCCGCCCGCAAGAGGCGTCGCACAGGCCGACCACTGTGCCAGCCGCGGAGCTGAGCACGTAGCTGTGCTTGAAGCCGAACGGAAGACGCCCGAGACTCGCGAAGCGGCTTTGGGCGCCGAGGGCACGGGACGCCGAGACAGCGCAGCGCCGCCTCTTGCCCGTAGCCGCCACCACGCCGGCTATGTGCCAAGCGTGCGATGGCCAAGCCACCGCCGCAGGGCTAGATTGTTGGCGAACTCGCGGCTCGTCTCCCGATCGAGCTGCCTGCCCATTGCGGCGTTTAACTCCGGTGATCCACAAATCATCCTGGACCTCCTCGGCCGCGACGCCGTCTTCTTCCGCTGCCGCCCAGGCGCACAATGTGAGCCGTCCACGTAAGCTCTCCCGTGGAGCCGGTCGCTGATCCGGCCCGTGCGGCGCGCCCTTGGCCGGCTCAGGACCGCCAGGATGAACACCGCCAGGGGCACCCAGGCAGCCAGCCTCGCGTCGGTACCCACGGTTGCCCGAGCAGCGAACGCCGGGCGGGTTATCCAAGGTGGAACCCCCGCCCTGGCCAGCAGGCGGGGCGCCTGGTGCAAGTCGACTTGGTCGTGCGTCTTGCGCCTATCCAGGGCCGCGCCGGCGTTGTCTTGGGAGAGTGCCTCCGCTGCTTCGAGCTCCAGGGACAGCTCCCATGCCAGCTCGTCCGCGCCGCGCCGCCACTCGTTGCCTTCCCAGCTGCACAGCCACTGCGCGAATGCACGCGCCCGCCCTGCCGCCCAGATGCGGTAGAGGACTGGCAGCAGCCATGTCGGCCGACGCTCCAAGGGCCCCTTGCCGCCGCCAGGCTTGGGCAGCAGCAGCCCTTCGGGTTCCACCAGCTCCCGCGGCCAGGCGCCCTGAGCCTCGATCTCCTCGAAGAGCTCGGCTGCGGGGTCCGGTGGGCAGGAACCGGAGCTCGCCAACCGCGCATCGAGGCCTTGCGTCTTGCACTTCGGCATGTGATGGAGCAGCCCCGCGATGAGGTCAGCAGTCCAAGGCTTGCGGTCCGGGAAGGGCGGCAACCCGTCGAGCTCCTGCTGCCACTCCTCGTCCACCACTGGCGCCGGCTCCCGCTGCCACAGGGCACGCCGCGGACCCTCGAAGTAGCGCGCGCGCCGCAGGCCCGCCCTGCAGCGCCGGCAACCATGGCCGGCTACCAGGAGGGCTGGCTGCCACGCCAGCAGGCGCGCCCTCCGCACTCATGCCGGCGGGCACCAGCTTGGCCTTCACGCTGCCGCGGCCGCAGATCCAGCGGCACAGCCGACCCTGGCTGTTCTTCAGCGAGTCGTCGACCCACTGGCGCCACCCAGCCCGCCGCCGGGCACGGGCGGCTGCTTCGGCCTGCCGCCATTCCGCCTCCGCCCGCTCTATCAGCGCATCCGCGAGCGGCCCCGACGGTGGTGTGGCCTCCAAGGCAGCCCCCCAGCCATCGCCAGCGGCTGACGTTCGCAGAGCCTGGAGCGTACCCGCTGCAGCTCGACCAGCTGCTGCCGAAGAGCGCCTGAGCGCGTTCTGGAGCGACCGCAACCTTCGGAGCCTCAGCAGGGCTGCGTCCGCAGCAGCGTCAGCCGAAGCAGCAGCGAATTGCTGTCGTAACGTCGCGCGCCGAGGCTGCCGAGCAGGCGGCGCGTGCCGGCCCGTCAAGCTTGGCGACCGGCTGACGGAGGAGGGCCAGCTCTGGCCGCCCGAGCTGGATCGTCACCAGCAGCGCCGCGAGCATCGCCAGGCAGAGGTCCCAGCGGAGGCCGACCTGGGTGACCATCCCCGCGGCGGACTCGTTCGCGAGTGTATAGTCGATACGCGACGGCTCGCGGGCCTCGCGGCCCCGAGCAGATCGCCAGCCAGCCATGGCCAGCAGCCCGTCCAGCCCTGTGTCAGCAGGGCGGCAATTCAGGTCGCCGACGTCATGAATTTTTCATAACCTCGACCCACAGAGAATTCGACCTATTCTCCGGAACCGGCTATTCATCCTGAGCTGTTGTTGACGGTCCCGAGGCCTGGTAAGGGCCCCCAGAGGCCGAACATTGTAAAACAACTCACGTCGTGATTTGTGTCATTGCTCGAAGGGTTCTGGAATTCATGTCGCCGACGAGCAGGGCGCCAAGCGGGGGCGTCGCAGAGGCTACGAATCCAACTCGCCCCCTCCAAGATCAGGTCGGCGTTCTAGTCGATGTCCTGCTGGCCTCCTGCGTTAGCCGTTACAATTCATGATGTGAAGCGCACGGCCCTGCCCGAGGGCGACATGCTGCAGCCTGCCAGGGTGGCGGCCAGAGAGACCCTGCGGCACCGACGCAAGGGCGCTGCACCAGCACACGCGGCTTGCCGCCGCGAGAAGGTGAGCGTCCTCATGAACAGGCCCCACCTGCAACTGCATGCCGCGCTCACGGCCGCCTGCTCGGACTCTGCAACTGGAATGCACACCTCCAAGACGCACCATGCATGATCCTCGGACGCGAGCAGACCGCGCCAACTCGCGCTCCAGCGGGTGACATTCGCCACGAGGATGGTGGCCGTCGCCTCCGGCGCCTCCATCGCAGGGCCAGGAACCCGCGCCTCGCCGACGCGAATACCCCGCCACGGCCATCAGGTCCAACGGGCCGTCGCGTTGCTCCACGGGGAGGCGGAGGAAGGGGACGAGGGTGAAGGGGACGAGAAGACCCACCCCGCCTTCCTCATCCTGCCCTCCTCCTCCATGGAGCCGGCTGCGCTCAGGCACCAGGTGCCGCGCCCCGCTCGGCATTCCGCGAGCGCCCCCGCCTGGCTGGGCTGCCTGGCGGCGTGGAGGAGGCTCGCGGCCAGCCGACGCACTCCTGGAGCATCACCTGCCGCCTGGCCTCCGCAGCGCGATGGGCTGCTGCCAGATCACGCCAATGATTGTTGGGCGTGGCACCGCCCTTCGCGGCGCCGCCAGCGCCCCTCCCTGGCGGCAGGCCGCCTGAAACTGCGGCAGGCCGCAGTGCCCAGGCCCCCTCGGCAGCGCAGCAGCGGCGACAGCGCCCGCTGGCGGCGGGGCGCCGGGAGCTGCGGGAACGCCATCGCTTCGGAGGCGACAAAGGGGGCGAATAGCCAAGGGGCGGGCATAACACGCATTCGCCAGGGAGCCTCGCCGAAGACATGGATCATCGGCACCTTTGAAAACATGTATTGCTCCCCCTTGGCTATTCGCCTCTATCGTCGCCTCCGATCGCTGGCGGCTCCAGCGACAGCAGGGGCATCGGCATGCAAGGCGGCGGGATCGGCCGCGCCAGTGGCCTGGCCCCCCGCACTGGCCCCACGCACAGCGGCAGAGACCAGAGCTGGTCGACAGGCGCCGCGGCCTCGCCTCCGCTGCCTCTGGCGTTGCCTCCGCGCTGCTGCAACACCGAGGTGGCAGCCGCCAGCGTGTCGAGGACTGCGGCGACCCCAGCCTCGGAGAGCTCTCCGGCTGGCGGTACGCGTGCAGGACCCTCCGCTACGTGCACGCTCGAGTTGGACAATTTCTCGATGAGACAGAGGAGGAGGTGGAGGAGGAGGAGGAGGAGAAAGAGGAGAGTGAGGACGAGGACGGGGGAGGAAGAGGATAGTGGGGATGGAGAGAAGGTGAAGGAGGAGGAGGAGGAGGAAGAGGAGGATGGGGGAGAGGGGGCGGGCAGGAGGAGGGGGAGAGGGATGGAAGATGATACGGATCGTCTGAGATTGGTTCAAAGGTTTCAGTGGCGTTCCAGTGGGGTTCTAGGGCATTAGCTCTAGATGGATTTCCAGTATCCTCCTCCTTTGTGTTCCTTACCAGTGTTTCGATTGCTGGGGTCCTCACCGATTGATCCAGCTCGAAGAATAAACTATGTTCCTTAAAGACTCGGATCTCAGTGAACGTCTGTTCTGGGTTTGATGAGAAGTGGCAACCCACACAAAAGCCCGCCGAAGCCAAAGTTGATGAAACGAAGCCGTAGCAAGTCAGGACAAGTGCCCGCCGCGGTTTCTGGTACGATGCAGGATTGGGCAACCTTGGGGCCCGCAGCGGCTAGCTCCAGCCCCCCCTGGGGCTTGCATGTACATCATAAGGTAATTGTTGATTCAACTTTCCTGTTAGACTGTCCAAGATCTCTCTCTCTCCCTCTCTTTCTTTATCGCTCTCTCTCTCTCTCCTTCTCTCTGCCTCTGTCTCTCTCTATATCTATATGTTTTTCTCTCTCTCTCTCTCTCTCTCCGTTTCTCTTAACACAACCAAGCATTGTCAACACATCCGAAGATCTGGGTAGTGAGAACCTGTTCAATTCTGCAATTTGTGATCGGTGCCCCTAAGACATCCACATCGTATGAGGCGTTCGTACTTCACCCGTCACCCATGTACAGCACAATGCCGCACAACTCGAGCCTGGCTTTGCCGCCGATGTGCTCCTCAACACATGCGCGTCTGTGCTGCCCAGAGCGGCTCTCGCTGGGCCCAGCGCAGCGCCGACGATCGCCCCCCCCCCCCCCCCTCAAGGCCGCGGACCCCCACCTCACGCCTTGCCGGGCCCCACCCGGCACACCCCGCGGGCCCCGCGTCAATGACGCCGCGGCCCCCCTCCGGGCTGGGCCCCCTGCTGGAAGGAGGAGGAGGAGAAGGATAACCGAGTCTTCTCCTCTCTCTCCTCCTCCTTCTCCTCCTCCTCCTCCTCCTCCTCCTCCTCCTCCTCCTCCTCCTCCCCCCTCCTACCCCCCCCTCCTTTTCCTCCTTCTCCGACGCACTTCCGCGTTGGGAAGCGCAGCTGCAGTTGCCCACACCGTGAGCGGAAAGCCGTCGCTCCGGTCCCCAGCCCAGTCGTGTTTCTTCTCGGCGTCGTCTGTTTAGTTTTTTTGTTCGCTGCTTCGGATCTCGTTGTCCTGTGAAGATGGCGCACCCAGGCGGGCCGGCCTCCTCCTCCGCGACGGTGCCCGACGCGTGCATCAACAAGCACCCGCGTTTTCCGACGCTCACGGCGAATATCAGGTCGCGTCGGGGCAGCAAGGTGGCCCGGGGGGTATGACCAAACACCACCGTCGCGTGATTGGCCCCTGCACCCTCCAGGAAGGAGGACAGGAAATGTAGTACGTTGCTGGTCCCTGTCAAGGTGGATATACGAGTGCCAACTTACAAGGACGAGGCCACCACTGAGGAGTACGCCACGGGCGATTGCATGGCGTTCGGCATGGGCTGCTGCTGTTTGCAGGTTACGTTTCAGGCGGCCGACGTGAACGAGTCGCGATACCTCTATGACCAGATGGCGGTAATCGCGCCCATCATGATGGCGCTTACGGCGGCGACGCCGATCTTTGCAGGGCGCCTCACCGCTAACGATGTACGCTGGAACATCATCTCTGCATCGGTTGACGATCGCACGCCTGCAGAGCGTGGCCTGCAGGTTGAGTGCAAGCCGGACCCTGCGATGGTGGCGGGCGGCACGCGGTTGCTCAGCAAGAGCAGATACGATTCCATCTCAAGCTACATATCTGATTACCCGGAGGATCAGGGGCAACCAAAGGGGGGGGGGGGATAGGCATAGGGGGGATGCATCGACCCCGAATCGCCCATTGATCGCCGATAGGGGTCTGATGGCCCCGCACCGCCCACCAACGCGCGGATTTGCTATCGAGGCCCTATCGCCGGTCTATCGGCAATGTATCGCCGATAACAGGTCGATGTGTCCCCCCTATGCCAGTCCCCCCCCCATCGTTGCCCCTCAGAGGATCTGGACAAGATGTACCATGACATTCCCTGCGAAGTGGACGAGGAGACGAAGCGCCAGCTTGTTGAGGAGGGCGTCGTCGAGCCGCTCGCCAGGCACGTGGCGCACCTGTTCACGCGCGATCCCCTGGTGGCGTTCGAGGGTGCCGTGACCGAGGTGGACGACGAGACATCCACGGAGCATTTCGAGAGCATCAATTCCACAAACTGGCAGTCCATGCGCTGGAAGCCGCCCCCGCCACCCTCGGACAACGGCGTCCACATCGGCTGGAGGATCGCCAGACTACCCAGTGTCCTGCCCCAATGCTTCTATCCCCACGCCTCCTCATTCCGCATCCCTTCTCCCACTCGTCTTCGCCGTCCGATGATCCCCCTCCCCCGCCTCCTCCTCCTCCTCCTCCTCCTCCTCCTCCTGCTCCTCCTCCAAGGTATTGCTCCTCTCCCCTCCTCTTCCTCTGTTTGCCCTTCCCCATCGCTTTTCCTCCCGCTTGGCTGTTGAGGAAGAGAGAGAGAGGGAGAGGGAGAGAGAGGGAGAGGGAGATGGATATACAAAGATCTATATATATATATATATACACATATGTGTGTATCTATCTATCTATATATATATATGATGTCGGAGTGTTGGGTCCCCCAGCCTACCCCGGCACACAATGACAAATGCCCCCCCCATGGGTACCGAAGGTAGCCCCGAAGGCAGGGGGCCCGCTTTCGGCCTTTTCGGATGCTCTCTCACCCCCGAGAGCGCTCCAAGAGCACACGCGAAGGCCTCCAGACGGCCCAAGAGGCATCCAAGGCGACTCAAGAGCGCTCCAGGACCGCTCAGGATAGCTTCAAGACGGCTCTGAGGTCCCCCAAGAGGTCCAAGAGTGCCCCAAGAGGACCCTCAAGAGGGCCGCAAGAGGCCAAAGCGTCCCATCCCCCTTCTGGGAAAACATGTAATTTTAGCACGCTTGCTTTTTCGTATCAACAGCGCCCGGTACGGCCAAGGGGGGGGGCCAAGATCGCCCAAAGACGGCCCACGAGGCCCCCAAAGAGGCCCTGCGCTGCGCTTCGCTTGAACGTTTTGGGATAGTGCATGGTGGGGACAAGGTGAGGACCGAATGGTGGCCCCTGGGCTTGACCCTGCAGCGTGTATAGGGCCAGGGAAGTGGACGGCAACCGCAAAACACGACGGCAGGTGGACGACGGGCGCGCGCGTGCGCGCGCGAGGGTGCGGCGGGGCTGGTGTCCACAATGTCGGGCAGGAGGAATTCAACCCGATGGAGGTGTTGTCCCAAATCTCTCCCCGTAGTATATATATATATATATGTGTACAAGACTGCAGTGGCGCTTCGCGCCATGCACCTTGGTCCTTGAAGTTTGGTTTGCAGGCGGAATAGCAGGAAGGTCAAGCCGACAATTTAGCGATAACTCCTTGTTGCCTTTTCCGGCATCGCCGCTATGATAATGTTACTCGTTATTATTCCTCCATGCTTCTTTTTCCTCATGTTCGCCATACCCTGCGCATTCTCCCTATTCTCCTCAGCTTTTTTTTGCGGAGGCTCCTCCTGGGAGAGCCTCTGGGGCCCTTAAAAAAATGGTATCAGGCTTTCTTATGGCCTTCTGGAGGCCTCCTGGGCGTATTCTGGGGGCCTCTGGGAGCTTCCTCGGGCCACCCTGCCTCCAACCACGGTCTCCCTGAACGACCGGGTCACGATTTGGAATGCTTCGGAGGGTGTCTTGGGGCCATCTTTGGCCGCCATGGGGCACTCTGAGGGCCATCTTGGACCCGTGTTGTGCCGTTTTGGGGCTCTTTTGGACTGCCTGGAAGCCCTTTCGGATGGTTGTGGGGCGATTTTGGAGCCTCCCAAGTGGCTTCGGACGCCCAGAAGACCGCCGTCTTGGAGCGTCGGGAAGCCGAAAAGAGGAGAACCCCCAAAATTCACCAAAAACTGTTAGAAAATCAATGATTTTTGCCTCTTGGGAGTGCTCTTGGAGGCCTCTTTGGGGCCTTCCTGGCCTCTTGGGCCATCTTGAGGTCACGTCGGTCACTCTTGGAGCGCTCTTGCGCTGTCATGGGGGTCTCTGAGACGTCTCCGATGACCCCCCTGATCGCCCTAGGTCTGCTGGGAAGGCTTGGCAAAACGCCCTGCGAGGCCAGGGGGGCCGCTTCGAGGCCCGTCCGGAGGGTCCCAAAGCCCCAGATCCCGGGAGCCCAGTTTTGGGGGGGGATGGGTTTTCCCCCCGCCCGGGCTTAGAAAAATATAGGAAGAGGAATATGTATGAGATGAAAAGGAAGAAAGGCAGAGAGAGAGAGAGAGAAATATAGATATATAGGATCGTCACACTGGCTAATGTAAACGAAATATTGTGCGTACGGAATTGCACACGTGCGTGATTACATGCGCGCGTGCGTGCATGCGCGCGTGCGTGCGTGATTACGCGTGCGTTCGCGCGCGCGCTTACGTGCTGCGTCTGTTGTGTGTGTGTGTGCTTGCGCGCGCGTGTATGTGTGTGTGTGTGTTGCGTCTGTGTGTGATATGTGTGTTGTGTGTGTGTCTGTGTGTGTTTCGTGTGTGTGTGTGTTTCGTGTGTGTGTGTGTTTCGTGTTTGTGTGTGCTTCGTGTTTGTGCTCGTGTTTGTTTGTTTGTGCGTGTGCGTGTGCGCGTGTGGATGCGCTTTGTTAGTGTGCGTGCATGCTTGTGTGTATCTGTGTGTGCGCGTGCGCGTGCGGTCGCATGGATGAGCCCCGCGGGGAGGCGTGCCCATCCCTCTGCCCCGCTTGTGGGTTCGATACGTCAGACGCGATCGGCCATTCTCTTATCACATTGTCTTTTCCTGCTGGTCCTCCTTCGCTCTTCCCCTCTGCTCGCCCTTTCTTCCTCCTCGTCAGCGTCTTCGTTTCACTTGGGAGGAACGGGCGAGAACGGTCTGGCGGTAGAACTTCTTACCGGCCCCCTTTGTTTCGATTGCGCCGGTGCCAGCATCCCCCACGTTATCACCATCGTGGTCGTGGCGCAAGAGAAAAAAAACAAAGCAACAAAAAACATGGTTCTTGTCGTGGTGGTCTATCTCGTTCCTGTGTGCTGCCGCGCAGATCGTTAGAAATGCAAGGACGACCTCGAGGGCGCGAAGTTATTTGCGCTTCGCACTTCGCGGTTCGGCTCCGACTTCCCCTTTATCATCTTTTTCTCCGCTGGGGGCGGCGCGAGAGCTCGAAGTCATTCGCGCTCTGCGCAGCGCGAAGCTCGATGTTGGGCGCCCTCGTGTCTCGTTTCTGTGTGCTGCCGCGCAGATCGTTATGAATACCGGCCTCTCTGGGGATGTATTGCGCATTTTTTTTCGAATCCAGAGTTGGCCTTGGCTCACAGGCGCACGCGATGTGAAGAGTCTCCGTGCCCGTGCTCGTGTGAGTGCATGTCCGTGTGTGTGGCGGCATCACTGATGTGGACCAAGCCTCGCTCACTTGTCAGTCTTCGGGAGGTACCAGGCGGTGTCCTTACGTATCCGCGGCCGGCAGCACTTTCGGCCGAGTGGTTGCGTTGGAGCACGCACATCGCAGGACCTTTCCATCTTAGGGCTGGATGTGTCTGTAGTTTCCAGGATGCGAGCTTCGCTGGGGCGTCGCGTTTCATTTGGAAAAATGCGTGATTCATCTGCCAAACCGATTGGGGTTGCATTGTTCTCAGCGGACCGCATGCTTTTCTTTTCTGCGTGGGTGTTTCGAGAGAGTCCCACTTGTTTAACGACTGGCGCTCTATTGGGTAACGACTTGTGTACCAGGCGTGCAGCTCTCTCTCACTATCATTTTGGCATTGCCACATCGCTTTCTGAATCATCCGCAGCTCCAAGAAAAAATGCGTGCGTGCGTGTGTGTGCGTGTGCTTGCATGATGACTTACTTCGTTTTCGCTTGCATTGCCTGCCTCAGTTTGCCCCTGACGATTGCCGCAGGGCGCAGCAAACAAAGTTTTGCTGCCGTGTGTCCTTGCGAGAACTCCCGGTGCATTCAACCCGTTCGTGTTCTACATCGGTGGCGGGGGGGATGTGTGCGTGCGTCCGTCCGTGTGAGCTCATGGCTGACCAGCTGTTGCTGCAACGCTGCGCCACCACCACACAAGCCGTACATCCAGAAGGACGCGTTGGCACGGCAACCGCTTAGGGTGGCCAGAAGAGAAACAATGAGTATGAATATCTCACAGTGCACCACAGAATTCGCGCTGGAAAACAAGAGGGGGAAGAGAAAAGAGTATATCGCAGAAGGTGGCTCAGATATGAAGGCAGAGTTTGGACACTTCTGGGGTCCATTTCTGTCTCGGCCGGCCGCGACGCCGTTGTTCCACCCAAGTCTTTTGCGTGCCATCTGGATTGCATACGATTTAAAGTACGAGCGAGCCAGGCCCACCTGCTATCTTGTGGTACACTTTTGCTTGTCTGCCAAGTAGTACTTGGGAAGTGAGTTCGGCGCGGGCTCTGGCTGGAACGCATGTGCTTCCCATTCTTGACATAGACGAAGGCAGCACACCCAAAACTCGCCGTAAACACCTGCAGTGGAATCCATCGATTCTGCGTCGATCAGCTTGTAATAGCCAAAGAGAGTCGAGCGACTACAACAGCTTACCCAGGACGCAGCTGTCGGATACTTTGTATTTTCTCTGCCATCCCACTGCTGCTTGCGACCACAATCTCGCGAGCTGCTTGAAGACGCGCTATGCTTCACCAAGGCGCACGGTGACCTCCAGGGCCGTTTTGCCATCGCAAGTAAGCACGCCGCCCAGATACACGGCTTCCTGGACAATTCTGATAGGGCCTCATCTGGGCGTACTACCGCAGCGTTCGTCGAGATATGCATTTGCAACGTTTTGTCAAAATCCAGTTCAATTCCAAATTTTTGCTTTTCGGCAACTATCGCGTTCAACATGTGTTGAATATTAGCTTGACTGTGTGAAGCCAACACTGTGTCGTCTGCGTACAAGATGTCTCGTGTTACTACGTAGCCAGGCTCCGCCTGAAATCAATAGTTTAAAACGCGGCGACAAGCATGACTGACTGCACAGGAATAAATAAGCAAGGAGAACAACGTCGTCCTTGAGCGATACTGGCCATTTGCCGTCGTTCTCTTGACTACCAAGTGTGGTCCAAAATGGTGGCGTAACGTTCGGCATAGATAGCTTTGATCATGTCCGCCAGTGTATGAAGGAAGCCCCAATGATCGCAGAGCGACGCACATACTTTCTGTTTTGAGCCTGTCGAACGCCCTAGCCCAGTCAAGCAGCAATCAGATGAGGCCAC